AAATAAGAGGAGAAAAATGGAGACAGTGGATTTAATACAATTTTATTTGTTTTGCTGCAAAAGGAAGGAGAAGCATATGACAACCAGAAGTGGAATCAATAGGGGGCTTTTATAACATAGGAGAAATAACAGCATGCTTGCATATTGACTGAGGAGGGGCAGGAATAACCAACAGACACTGACAGAATACACATTGGAACAAGTTTCTAGAACAGTCCAGGCAGGGGGTGGGAGTTAATGCACAAGGGGAGGACTGGCTTTCCTAGAAGCGCTGAACTAGGAGTCCTAGAGTTGAAGAGAGACCCGAGAAAGGGCAGTTGCAGAAAGATGGCAAGAGTGCTTGCTTCCTTTCATTGCACAATGAATTAAATGAACTTTAAAACCTGCTACCAGGGGCTCGGGGCTCCCTGCGAGCCGAATATAGAGCTCCAGGGCCACGTGGACCGAAGCCGGCTCGGCCGAGGCCCGGCCGGGGAGACGCCGGAGTCGGCCCGGGGACCTAGTCGCTGCCCCGAGAGGGGCGCTGTGGGGACAGCTCCGCTCCACCTCGCGCCGAGGCCGCCGCCGGCAAACTGGCAAGGCTAGGGAAGGGCGTCCAGGTGGCGCAAGGCCTGGTGGGGTCAGCCCCAGGGAGGAGGCGACGGGCGCCCACCACCAAGAGGACGTGGAGATGCCCCGAGGAGCCCCAGTCGGGTGCAAGGTAGCTAGAAAGGGCCGATCCCCCTGCTGGCGACTGTGCAGGGCCACCACTCGCTCTGGGACGCGGGACTTGAGGTGGGATTTAAGGGGGAGTAGGGGAGGATCGCGGCGCGGCTGGGGGGCTGATGAGGTCCACTTGGGTCCACCCCAGTTGAGGGCCACTGAGTGGCCACCGCCGCCGGTCCGCACCCAGGCTCCCGCCTGCCTGCCTTTTTTACATCCTCCGGGATTCGGAAGCTGCAGCGTGGTGGAGAGCAAGGGGACCCCAGGCAGGGGCTGGCCCCAAGGTGGCCTGGGGCTGGGGCTTCTAGGACCAGACCCTCTTGGGTGCAGTTTTGAGGATTTTTTCGCCCTCCCTTCTTTACAGGGAAGTGGGGAAATGGGAGACATCTTGCCCAATGGCAAAATGCCAGTCTGAGAGGCTAAATGCTGGACACAAGATTTAACAGGCACTAAAAATAAAAATCTGGTGGTACAGGTCTTGTCCTCTGTACTGGACTTCATGCCTTTCGCAACTTTTCTGAGAAATGCTAAGAGGAAAGAGGCCCCCCTTGGCCTGAGGGTCAGTAATGCTTGCAGCTTCTCCGGCCCGGGGAAAGAGTCCGGCTTTTGCAGTGGACACAGGGACAGAGCTCTAGGCCTCGTTCACCGCGGAGACGCTGTAGCCCACAGCTTCAGGCCGGGGCTGTGGCTCAGACTCCTGGGTGCAAATACTGCGCTGCCACTCACAGGTCACGGGGTGTCAGGCTGGTTGCAGAGCCCCTCCACGCACTCAGCTGTGTGCTTGAGTTTTCCTGCGTGTGTGGAAATGGCCCTTCCATAAGGCTGTTGTGATGATTACGGGAATCCATACACGTCAGACCCTTAAAGCTGTACCTAGGATATAGTAAGCGCTCAATGAAAGTGAGCTGTGTTTGTGACGGACTTCTCAGGGCCAGGTCCCTGCCAGCACGGTAGAGACGGCCCGCCCTGGCCATGGGGCGGGGCGTGCTTGGGAACACTTAAGGGCCTTGGGGGAAAAAAGGAGCTTCCTCCCAGAAGGGAGAGGGGGAAGAGAGACGGGTTTTAGAGGGGGTGGGGAGGACGGGGGGTGGGGGGGTGGGGGGGTGGGGAGGCAAAACGATAAAACAAAAAGCATGTGAATCTGTAAAAATTCTTCAAGGACTCCTACTGCCAAGTACCTAGGGGGCTTGGGAGCAGGCCAAGTCTGCTTGCCCTCTGTGAGTCTGAGAGAAAAGTTTGGGCTGTTTCATGACCCTGATGGTTTTTAGTTTGATTCAAGGTGAGGGTGGGGGCCCTTTGGTCTCCGTAGAAGCATCCCGTGGACTTTGCTCTCCCTGACAGGTCAGGCAGGCTGTTCCACGCACTGGGCCTTCTCCAAAACGGTTTCGTGGCAGGGAGGAGGGGAGCAGGGGGTGTCCGGAGCATCAGCCACTGTTCTCGCCCAGGCCGTCTCTCCCAACTGCTCCTAACCAGGACCTCTCAGGCTCAGCACCTGGACATGTGGCTCGGGGCATCTCCCAGCTCCGCGTCATCCTCGAACGACAAGAGTGGTCACCCTGCTGCCCTCAGGGACAGCTGCCCGCAGCGCCCTGTGGCTTTGCATGGGTAGACAGCTGGTGCGTTTGCCTTCTGATTTGACTCAATTTGCTGTGGACAGGAACGATGTGGTGTCCTGCTCCCTGCTGACGGCAGCACGCGTCTCATGCCTGTCTCATGGTCGGTGCTCAATAAAGGGCTCCTGGATGAATTAATTAAAACAACAACAACAACAACAACAACAAAACCCTGCTACCAAATTACCTGACCTATGGTCATATCTCTTCCTCAAAAGGGAATGAATGGCGTTTGGGGGTGGGAGGATGGAGGAGAAGAAAGAATGGCATTTTTGAATCTGGAATTGATTTCAACTTCTCATTCATATGATGACATTTTCTTAAGTGTGGACAACATTTGAACATTTTCATCCAAAGTTTTCCTTAGGTCATATTGCTTCTTAGCTGCTCAAATATGGCTATTATTTAAAAAGTAATTTTCATTTTACTTCTGATATACTTGGGGGAAGCTATTTCTTAAATGACTTTGGAAATTGTGTTTGAACATTTGTCTTCAAAGTTCCTTTCAATATTTAGATAAACTGAGCACAATACTTGAAGGGAGGAGGAAAATTTAATACTCAAAATTACAACTTAATAAGAAATGAATAAATACCAACTCTGAAGGAGAAAGAAATGATCCTTCTGGTGATAATGTTCCATTAATGTTCTGTTTCCAATAGTTCTGGAAATATTTTTCTTCTAACACAATTAGTAAAGATGACTACTTGAGGAATTTCCAAATAATCCAAATTGGTATTTTAAAAAAAGGCTAGCAAAATCCATCAAATTACCTCTTTACCTAAGGAGAAATTACCATTTTTAATTCGCCATGAGATTTTAAATGAAAAAGCTTAGACCCAACATCCCTCTAATTTAAAAAAGTCAGATAACAATGAGAAGTATTTAAGGATTTCCTTCATCTCTTTTAATAATCATAAACTTAAACACATCCTATGTAGAAATGCCTTATGGTGGGGAAAGAAGGGATTTTTTCACACACTTGTAAAATGAGCGTATTTTAAGGGAGCATTAAAATTACAGGTGTAGGTAGCTTCATCTCACCCGTATTTCTCATTGGTCCAGAAGGCCAAAACTTTCAGGGCCTGTGAGAGGGAAAGTCCAAATCTTTAAATAATTTAGGTAGACTTAGTGAATTGTGTGAACTGATTTTACATTTTTAGCTTTAATTTTCTCCTCCTGGCAGTCCCCAGTTTTCGTCAGATGAGGGCAGTAAGGAGACAGCTATTCGTCCGTTCCCAGTAACTTTAAGGTTTTTCTCAGAAACAGAAAGACGTAGATTTCTCTTTCTTGTACCTGCCAAAGGTTAGATACTTCATTTTAAACAATGATAAACCTAAGTGGGCAGGTTAAGGGTCAAGTTCAGCCATAGGATGATCAGATTGAAGAGATTAAGTTAAGAAATAATGAGAGAAAGCTGAGGACATTTCTGTTAACCTCAGGGAATCTGGGAGTCTGAGTAAGGAGGAATCAGGGGAAAATGAATAAAGGACACAGAGGGGAAGGCCAAAGGGCAGTCCTTGCTCGATGCTGACTCTCTCCTTTCTGCCTTGGAGAAAATAGCCAGTAGTTAGTAATTCAGAGTCCTGGACTGATTCTCTCCTAGACTATGGAAATTTCATCACATTGTATAAAGTCATTATTTGAGAAATGATTATATGTTTATGAGGAGGGACATTGTGGAAGTAACTCTTTAAGCTAAAGAAACAATGAAAAAAATGAGAGAGAGAAAAAAAAAATCTGCACTCCCATGTTCATTACAACATTGTTCCAATAGCCGAGATATGGAAATAACCTGTCTGTCAACAGATGAATGGGTAAAGAAAATGTGATATACACACACAATGGAATATTATTCAGCTTTAGTAAAAAGGGAAATCCTGCAACTGTGACAACATGGATGGACCATGAGGGCTTTAGGCTACGTGAGAAAGGCTAGTCACCATAGGATAAACACTACAGATAACATGTGTATATGTGGAATCTAAGAGGTAAACTCACTGAGGTGGAGCGTGGCATGGTGGTTGCCAGGGGCTGTGGAGGAGGGTAATGGGGGTCTTTGTCCAAGGCACAAAGTTTCAGTTACGTAAGGTAGATAGTTCTGGAGATGTTAGCGAGTGCTTATAGCTAATAAGGCTGCATAATATACAGAAAACTTGCTGAGAGAGTAGATTTTGTGTGTTCTTACCATAAACACACATACAAAAATAACGATAAAGCATGTGAGAGGAAGGTTTCTTGATGCTAGTGATGATTTCACTGGTGTGTATATACTTATCCACAAATCATGGAAATTTTTTAAAAAATTGTAGTTCTTTAGGAAATCTAAAATTATGCTAGACTGTGTGGATCAGATATTTCAGTGAGTCATTTATTTCATACTCTTCTTTTTTAAGACCCAGCCAAACTGCTTTTAATATTTCGGACTGGACTCCCTGAATTAAATGACTCTTTTAAAAGCATATGTTACTTGTAGAACTGAACATTTAAATTTTTATTCTTTCAGCAGTTTAGTGGAAGGAACGGTCATGTGGAATAAAATATTCGAAACTATGCTGGTAAGACCGTGGGTCACGTTCTGGTTCAATCTCTTTCTGGGTGACCTTAACCCAGTCAATGAGCCCTTCAACGTTCGGACCTCGGTCGCCACCGCGCGTCCCCGCGCACCGCTCCAGGCCACGCCCGCTCCCCGGCGGGAGGCGGGGCGTCCGCAGAAGTCAAGAGGAGCCAAGGCTCCACCGCCAGGTCTCCTCGCAATCACCATGTTGGGGTCACGCGCTGCCCGTCGCCTGAACGTAGTGGTGAGACACCTTAGCCGCCCCTCGGTTGGGACCATCGTATCCTTTGGGCTGCGCGGGGCTCGGGCTGGTAGGGTGGTGGCCTCCAGGGCACGGCCGCCGCGCCGTTTCTTCCTCTTCCTCGATGCCCCGGGGGGTCGCCGTGAAACTCACAACCCTTTAGGCCGTCCGGCGCGAGGGGACAAGGGAGGAGGGCGCATTCTCAGTCGCCGATGGTGGCCGCAGTGGGCGATGTGTCGTCCTTCCAGCACCGTTTCCCCGGCTTGTCACCAAGGGGGCCAGCTTTCAGAGGCCTGGCTATTTTCTAAACAGGGCCGCGCGTGACTTACGCGGCTGCCCTGAGACCTAAAAACGTCACAGCGCGGTCGCCGCTTGAGCTGGAGCGCAGAGCGGCCTGGAGGAGCCAAGGCCGGCGGGCGCGCAGCAGGACCTCAGCGGGGAGCCCCACCGGTCCTCTGCAGGGAGCCCTCCCCCGGGCCCACGCCCTCAGCTCTTCTGCGAGGATCCCAGGGCTACGGCCCTCTGCGTTTACGCTGTTTCCTGGGAAGGACTTGGTGCGCTGGGTCCACCTCCCGATTTGGCATCAGAAGTTAATCCGAAAGCAATGGGTGCGCTGTGGTGTTGGGTCCTGAAAGATGTTACTACGGCCTATGACACGTCAATCAAATTGCTCTACAGAATTGTTCTTGCTGCTCAGAATAAGTGTTCTCTTTCAGGGGGCACTTTTTAAAGCTCCCTACAAAATTGGAATTGCTCCTTAAACGACCTGATTAGCCTCTGTCGGGCTGTATATAAGATCCTAACATCTCATAAAATGATTATACCAGCTGTTTCTTTTACTTTCATTGTTCTCCCAGCTGAGTTCCAAGAAGCAATGTATCAGGACCACTGTACATTTAAAATTTTGTCCATAGACTGGTGAAAGGAACCCAGGGGATTACGTAGTCTCATTTTACCGGTGAGAAAACTGAGGCTACAAGAAATTAAAACTCTGGACCAAGGTAATTTAATTCAAGCAGTGGTTGTCTTCAGCATGGTCCCCAGACCATCAACCTCAAGGGGAAGCTTGTTAGAAATGGAGATTTTCAAGCTCATCTCAGACCTAGGGAATCAAAATACACGGAATGGGTCCACTTGTTTCTGACACATGCTCAGTTGAGAGAACCACCACTATATTGGGATTAGATATAACTGGAACTAGAATTAAGGTTCCTCACCCAATCTGTTAACTACTTTTAAAATTTGATATTCTGATCGTGCTGGTCCTTGTTATAATAGTACGGTCAGAGCTTAGTGTTTTCATCTGCATTTCATTTCTTTTCTCCTTCTTCCTCTCCCTCCCCTCCTCCCTCCCCCCCCCCCCTTCCTTCTTCCTTCTTCTCCTTCTCCCCAACTCCTCCTCCTCCACTGGAATGCTGATGTTTGAACTGTCCTGGCAACCGCATTTTTCTGAGAGCAGTTGACAAAGGCCATTAACTTCTCTGCCACATGGAAAACAGTAATTCTGACTCCTGACCTGCCTTTCCTTTGGACTATATCATTGTTCCCAGTTATATAAAGACACCGTTTAAAAATAACATGTTTATGAGTAGTGACATCCTGAAAATAACTCTAAACTAAAGATATGATGAGAAATGAAAAGGAAGAAAAGAATAGCTGCTAAATCAATAATCTGTGGTAACTGGACAAAAAAAAATTAGAAAGAATTACTAGTTCTCTAAGATATTTAAACTTATATTTGACTGTGGGGTCATACTTTTCTTGGCATCATTGTTTATTTTATAGATTTAAAAAAATGAACAGCTAAACTGTTTCTAATATTTTGGACTGGACTCCAACTAAATTAAATACCTCTTTTGAATAACACATGTTTCTCTTTCTAGAATTGAAACTTTCAATTTTTATTTTTTGAGCAGTTTAGTGGAAGGAAGAGTCTTGTGGAATAAAATAGGTGGAAGCTATGAAGTAAAGGGTGTGGGTAAAGCCTTGGCTCAGCCGTCTTTTGTGGGCTGACCTTGGACCAGTTACTGAGTCCTCCAAACCCGAGGTTCCTCCTCTGAGTGGCAGGACCCATATCAAACCCCTTGAGCTTCCAGCTGCCTCCTCAGGTGACCATGGAAACGAAGTGAAGTCATTTCAGAGAGAAGCAGCAGTGTATAGCTGTCATAGCTATGTATGGAACCAGCTTGCCCAATGTCCATTTGGAAGCAGTCTTCCCTTATGAGAGCCAATCGTGGGCAGACTGTTGTTGACTTCTAAATTTTTATTTGCCTTAATTCCCATCCTAGATAGCTCACCTCACTTCGGAGGCTCTTTCTCCTGCCAATTTTCATCCTCAACAATTCCAGTAAGTAGATCTAATTTTAATTTATAACCATACAATGTATATAAAGGTTTTTCTAGTGATAACTAGTATATAAAACACAATATATCATGTTGCCTGGTAAGAATTTATTACGCAAAGCCTCCATTACCAGGACTTGCTATAATTAGAACAATTGTGGAAAATTTTGAAGATCCTGACTTTAATTGTCTATTTGTATTTTAAAATTCAGAAGGGAGGGAAAATATCAGAAAGGGCGCAATCTGGTTTTGAAAATTCAGGCATGGTATATATCTCATTTAAATTTGCTTGTCATGTGGTCATAGCATATATTTGTTAGCATCTTTGGTTTATCTTAATTACATTTGAGGAGGAAAACATTCGATCTCTATAGGATATTCATACACAACTACAATTTCAACTAGAGGAATGGACTGGGTAATTTGAGTTTGTGTATATGTTGTACACTTATTTGGATTTTGTTACTTTGATTTCTTTGGATTTCTTTGAATGCCTGAACTAGACAATTAAAAATATAAAATCTACTGAATTTGCTGCTGACCTGCAGAACCATACCTATTCATTACAAAATAAAATTTAAAATTGGGGAAACAGGACTCTTTAAAAATCATACATAACTTCATTACATAAAAGCAGTCACTGTTAAAATATTTTTGCATTTCTTTGCAGTCTTTTTTTAACAAATAGTGTCTTAGTTTTATAAATTGTCATATTTTATTATAATAAGCATTATTATAGCAAAATTGTCATATTTTATTATAATAAGCATTATAAGTAAATTGCTATTACATGCTGTTCATTTTTAATGCCTGAGTCATATTCCATTGAGTGGAGATGATATAGTTGATTATTCTTCAATTTCTTGGTAATAGTAGTTAATGCTTTGGATTTAAAGCTTGAAGGTTTTTTTTCCAGATAATTTCCTTAAAGTTTTTGAAATAGAAATGCTGGGTGGAAGAGTATCACCATTTCTTGGGTTCTTGATTCATGTTGTTGGGATGTGATTTTTAAATTGGGCTTATTTGAGATTTATTTTCTTCTTTAGGTATACTCTGGATAATAACGTTCTAAGCCTAGAACAGAGAAAATTTTATGAAGAAAATGGGTTTCTTGTCATTAAAAATTTGGTATCTGATGCTGATATCGAATGCTTTAGGTATGGTAACTATTTGTTATTTTACAGAAATACATGTTTTATGTATGTGATGGGAATATGGTAAGATTAGCTTGTGCATGTTCAGGCATTGTTTAGCGGTTTGGCTCCTTAGGAAGTGTTCAGGAACATGGGCTCTGGAGCCAAACTGGCTGGCTTTAGTCTTAGCCCCACCACTTAAGGTTGTGTGTCCTGGAACAACTAACTTAACCTTTCCATGTCTCTGTTCTCACATCTGTTAAATGGGGATAATAATAGTACTTATGTCCTAGAGTTGTTGTTAGGGCTAAATAAGGTAAACATATTGAGAGAAAACTTTAAACAAGGCCTGGTACAGGTTAAGTGCTACAGAAGTGTTTGCTCTTTTTCTTCAGATATAACCAAACCACATATATTTCCCCAAATGGTCTGCTAAGCTAAGGAATATTAGCATTCTGGTAGTGAATTCCAGCTTCACAGTTAGAGGGCAGGGACTTCTGAGTTGGCCATGGCCTCCTCCTTTCCATCAGAATTATTCAACCTGGGGCTGGAGGCCAACTTAGTGCAGAGATTCCCCTCCACCAAATTGTTCAATCTTTCCCAGAACAGGGCCAGGCAGGTGCTTGGAGCCAGCGGTAATGATGTCATTTGCCAATTTAATTTTCTAGGAAGGAGTTTGAAAGAATCTGCAGACAGGAGGTAAAACCTCTTGGATTAATGATAATGAAAGATGTGACCATTGCAAAAACAGAACATGCTGTAAATGAAAAAGTGGTTACCAAGCTCCAAGATTTCCAAGAAGACCGGGAACTCTTCAGATACTGCACTATTCCTGAGGTTCAAGACCCTCTTGCATTTCTTTTTTTCCCCTAAGCTAATAGCCCATTTGCATGCTTGCCTCTGAAATCTGTTCTTTTTACTTTACCTAGAATGTTTCTGCTCTGGCCCTAGAAGGGTGGTTCTCAATGGGAGACTGTGTTCGCACTGTCTCGAGATAAGCATGGTTGTCATACATGGACAAGCAGGGATGGTGTGCTACTGGCTTCTAAGGCGTAGAAGCCAGGGATGTTGTAATGGGGTCTAAGGATCCTGTAATGCACAGAATAGCCCCATCCCCAAAACAAATGATTTTTCAGCCCCAAATGTCAGTGTTGTCCAGTTCAAGAAACCCCACTCTAGAGTTTGCTAATTATCTTTGGTTGAGAAGGGCAGGAATCCTGTGTTAAAGAGAGAGAGAGTCTTTCTTACATTCGGTACAGGCATATCAAAGTGGTGAAACTGCTGAGGCTATTTGCTGTAAATCCATTTATATTTTCCTTTTATGAATCTGATCAGCAGAGCTGTAAGTTTGTTTTTAAATTTAAACTTGTTTGAAAAAATTATTATTCTTTAAGAGCAATTCATACTTATGAAAATATTCAAGTAGTCCAGAGAGGAATAAAATGAAAAGTAAGGTCTCCCACGAATAGTCCTCCTCACTGCTCAGCTTTTTTATGTGTTCATCTAGAATTATTTTGTGTATATGCAAACACATTTGTATACAGCCACCTGCGACATGGGAACATACTGGTTGTCACCTTGTTCTTTCCATTTCTGGTAGATCTTAAGCGTCTTTCCATTAGTATCTATGGATCTACTTATACTTTTAAAACTACTGCGCATTATTTCATTGCACACATGCATTGTACCATAGCTCATGAACCATTCACCTAGAATGGTTTTAAAGGAGACATTGCATATAGTACTTATTAGAAATTACAACCACAAGCATTGTAAGAGAATTTGACTCCTGAAGAAAGACTGTACAGATCTGTGATGCTCAGCCCCTTGCCTTGGTGACCTGAGGGGAAGTGGCCCTTCTGGAGCATCCATTCACCTCAACCTTAAATTATGTTATGGACATGGAAGCTGTGTGGGGAGGTCAAGGATAAAAACCTCAAGATTAGAGACAACTTGTGGTAGATGAAGCATTACCAGGATTTTCAGATTGTCTGCATCTCTAAAGTGTGACCCATGTATCTGGGGGTTCATATAATAATTTTTAGGAGGTATGCAATATTTTAATATCTGTCTATTTTAATATGTGTTGAAAAATAACCAGCACATCTAACCCATGATTTCAAGAATGTTATTAATCAGAAGAAGACTGAATAAAAGGCATTATAGAAGTTATTAGCTAACTATATTGGGAAGGTCTGCAAAGTAGGGCAGAAATGGTGAGGATGGCTCTTAAATGACTGAGGTTTAGAAAATACTGACCTAAGTGAAAAACAAAAAAATTGACAGCCTTTATAAAGAAACAAATATCGAGACTGACCCCTAGGATTTTTGTAACATTTCAAGTGCTTCATACACGTATTATCAATATTCCTTATGCACAAGAGGCCAAATAGTGAAAGCAGTAAAATGTGCTTCATTTTCTGGAGTCAGACAGAATTGGAGTTTGAATACCAGCTTTTTCATGTAACCAGCTCTGTCAACTTGGGAAACTTATTAGCTTCAGGCTTATTTGTGTGGGATGTTCATTTTAAAGGATCGTTAATTAATGGGACATGAATTTTCAGGGACTACCGTGAGGCTTAATTGGGCCATGTATAAAGCCCCTGGCAGGTAGTAGGCATTCCGTGTTGAGTCTTTTCTGCTTTTCACCCCACCCAAGGAGAGTTAGGTGCTGGGGGCAGCACCTGGGCTGCCGGAGCCCGTGACTAAGTCAGCCCTCCATATCTCATCCTCCCGTTGCAGCTTATTCTTTATAGCATATATCAAAATCACGATTGCCCATGTCATTATTTGTTTAGCATCTTTCTTCCCACCAGACTATAAATAAACTCCATGGGCTGCTGTTCTTTCCTCAGAGCTCCTCATGACAGCTGCAAGTGTGCTGGGTCCTTTCATAGTCCCTTCCTATTAGCAGTCTCCAGGAAGGAAGAGGAAGCTGGCCTCTCGCTAGGCAACTCTGGTCAGCTTTGATTGAAAGAAGGGTTTACCCGGCCTTCCCAGTTGATCTCTCGTAGAAACTTCTATCTTTCTTGTATAAGAAGTGGTTAGGTTTCCAACAGGCTCCAAAAAGCCTGTCAATTCAGAGTGTTTTAAATCTCTAATGATTTCCAAGTGCTGACTTTTTCATGCTTTGTTTGCAACGCTATGAAATACCAATTGGTTTTTTTAAACTATTGTCATCTTGGTTCTCATAAATACAGTTGTACTTTGTGCCATTTGCCTGTGCATTGGCGTTCTCACGAGTTATTCTCCCCCTTTCCCTTAGATTCTAAAATACGTGGAGTGCTTCACTGGACCCAATATCATGGCCATGCATACAATGCTGATAAATAAACCTCCAGATTCTGGTAAAGGACTCGTATTTGTTAAGGAGAGGGAAATAAATGTTTAATTAAAATATATAAGGTTGATGTTCTAACTGTAGCCATGTGTGTCAGTGCTAAGCTTTGCATAAATGAATATGTATACCATTAAAAAATAGACAACAGACCCAAAATGGAGTCACTTGTGCTAAGCCCACATCAGCAAACTGAGCCTTAATGCCTAACCTAAAAGCAGCTTTCGTTTCCCCTGAAACAAAATTAACCATTCAATCTGGAATTTCCTGGTCAGCACTAGTGAGGTAATCAGCCTGATAAAACCTGCCAGCTGCTAAAGGAAGGTGACCTTGCTTAGAACAGTCCACTCTTTGCTGGTAGCTTCCTTGTCCCTCCACCTTCTACCTACCAAAGCCTTCCCTTTTGTAGAGCTCCTCAAGACTCCTTTCTGTCTGCTAGATTGGATGCTGCCTGATTCATAAATCATATAATAAAGCCAATTAGACCTTTAATTTTATTCATTTGAATTTTGGTTTTTTACAGTAATTTAATTCAAAATAGCTTACATCATAACAACATTGAAGTAAAAGAGTGATTTCAGATACTAAGTGTAGGATTATTGCTGGATTTCCAGAAAACTGGATTCTTAAAGATGCAGGTTAATAAACAACTGTTTGTGTAAGATAAGCTCCAGTTATTCAACACGTCTGTGCTTTGTTCACCCTTCTCACCCATGACAGTGGATTTTGCCTTCCTGATCTGAAGACATTATTATTATAAACAAAATTAAAACAATTTTTATAAATCACATACTACAGTTTTTTGTAAAATTTCTTTTGCTTGCTGATGCATGGCTTCTAAAACCTCACACCCCGAGAAACTGACTGGAAAGAGAGAGCCCAGGCATCTGTGTTTTATTAACCATTCCCAGAGATTCTCGTGTAGATGGCTAGTGGGCCACGCTGAGAAATTCTGCTATACCAGCGGTAGTAAATTGGCCATTAGAGATCCTTCCATCTTTTCTACATTTCTTCCTCCCGATGGCCAGGAGGGGTGTATGCGACAGGCCTGTACCTTAACATCACCAAGTCTCTCCCTCTCTGGATGTCTTGCCTGGAGAGATCAGGTGGCCTGGGGAGTCAAATTCAGAGAGCAAAACCAGAGCAAAATGTAAATGTGGGTCTTGGTAGCTCTGATTCTACACAGTAATTATACACCAAATGCTTCTATTTAGTTTGGAGGGGAAACCTCTTAGAGGCCTTTCTATTTATTTAGTTAGCTAAAGTTTTTACACTAGCCTCTTAGCAAATTATCGGGGGACCTCAAGACTCCCCCTCTCCTCACTCTCTTCAATGAAATTTTTTTTTTTGAATACTAGACTCTATGCCTAAACCAGAGTTAGAAAGGAATAAGGCACAACAGAGATGATGACATAGGTGCAACTTGCTAGAACATAGTGTGTGTAAGTGCTTGGTTTTAAGAAACCCCGAAAAAAGTATAGAATCTGGAGTCCCCACGTTGATTTGATATTCCAGTTTGCTGCTTATCTCTCGAGGCTGATTTTCTAGAATATTATTTCATTTGTTTGGCAGGGAAAGGTCTTTTTTTGTTTGTTTGTTTTTTGAGGCAAAGCAGAGGAATTCTGAGACTCAAGCATCTTTTAACAGCAGGTTTCATTTCAGGCAAGAAGACATCCCGCCATCCCATGCACCAGGATCTGCACTACTTTCCCTTCAGGCCCAGTAATACAATTGTCTGTGCTTGGACAGCCATGGAGCACATTGACCGGAACAATGGCTGCCTGGTGGTACTCCCAGGCACGCACAAAAGCACCCTGAAGCCACATGATTATCCCCAGTGGGAGGTAGGTCAGCATAGCAGCCGAGTCTTGCTCAGAATCTTTTATTGTTTTGATTTCACATCAGTATACATACAGAGCTTTACTGGCAATATGGCATTTCGTTTTGTAGCAAAACATTGGTCTAGGATTTGGAATTAGAATCAGGCAAAAGTCAAGGATGTCAGATAAAATATTCATTCCTGCACTTTCAGCAAGGGTTTGAAAGCCAGTCAACATGGACAACTTTGGTAGGTGCTGTAAGATCCAAGGCTATAGAACCTAACACAAAGGTAAGACAAAAACACTGCGAAACCAGATGCATATGACAGGTGCCAAATAAGTCTTACACACTGATTGATGGCTCTCAGAGTCAAAAAGAGGGAGAGATCATCTCCTTCCAGCTGGAGAGGCCAGCAGAGGCTCTGGGGAGGACGGAGCTATATTCTGTTGCATGGCTCTTCTAGTTTATTGACTCAACGGTTGATGCCAGAGGACTGTTAAATGCTTTTGAGCTCCTGAGTGATGAGATGAAACTGGTTGCTCAAAAACAATAATTTTGGGGTGTGTCACAGGATGTAGGAATATTGGCAGTGTAGGAATCCAAGGGCAGGGGAACTAGTGTTTTAGATAGAAGGCGATAGTGTCTTGAAACCCCGTAGTAATGGTCAGAATAGAAAACATACCTGTTTTTAAGGCAGGAAGAGTGAATGTGGTTCTGTAGGAAGTAAGGAGAACATGGCTTTAAGGACTTCCGTCTCAGAATTCATGTGCTGGTGATTAGAGCTAAGCAAAACATTTGAGTCTTGATTCTGATATAAAATCTGAGATTGTGAGATTTGTCAGTTAAGGTGAGGTTTAGGAAAGGTTTGGTGCAAGTAAAAGGGAATGTTTTGGGAAAGCTGCAGGGTCCTGCTGAGTCCATGGAAGGGTGAGTAGCTCTGAACTTTTTCGCTTGGTGGGAAGAGTGGGGCTGGGGCACCTGGCATGGGCAGTTGAACCGTGACTATGTCTGGTCTCTTCCATCCTCTCCTCAGATTTGAATCTGAGTGGCTGCAATGGGAAGTCAGATTGGCTTAGCTTGGGTTACATACCCTGGCCAGGCGGAAGTGCACTGGATCAAAGTCCTAACACAGTCCAACCTGGAAGCAGTCATTCCTCCAAAAGGAATTTGGGATAGTCCTAGAAAGGCGAACGGGATGTTGCCCTGCCCACTACCCTAGAACAACCCCCCACCCCCTCATAAAAGCTTATAAACCTTAAATCACTTGCACTGTAGTTTTTCATAAAGACATAACCATTACCTAAAATAACTAACTTTGGAAAGTTATAAACAAAAGCAATATTTTAATTTACTTATCCTTCTTTCTTTACTCTGGATGTGACATGAGTGCTTTCTGAGCTCACAAAAATTAAGCATTTTCTCTCTCCCAGTTTGGGACAATAGTGTCTCAGAGATACTCCTGAGTAATAGAAGAGTGATTAGTGCAAAGTTTCAGGTGAAGAGAGTATCATGCTGGGAAAGAATGATCACGGGTTTTGCCTGGAAAGGAGTTCTGTGTTAACTGAAAAAGGCAAAGCTGAACTAGATCTTCATTTGTTACTCCGTTTTCATTTGGTTCAAAAAAAAAAACTGTGATTTTAATATCAACACATGACTTTAAAACCAGATGTCTGAGAAGCTTTTGTATATTTGCATTTTTTAAATAATCTAATTTATCTTCTTCTCTAGCAAGAAGTTAGAGGACATTTGCTTTTCCTGATGAGCTGTAAAGTTTGTAATTACTGGCTTCCTCAAATATAGACTTGACTTCTCTTATGTATTCCAGGGGGGAGTTAACATATTGTTCCATGGGATCCAGGACTATGACAAAAACAGTGCCCGGGTGCACCTGGTGATGGAGAAGGGAGACACCGTTTTCTTTCACCCTTTGCTCATCCATGGATCCGGTCAGAACAGAACTCAAGGATTCCGGAAGGTATGGATTAACAAAACCACACTTCCCAAGGATGAATGGTTAAACGCAATAATGTCGAGATATATTGAAATTTATAAGATTTCTCACTGTAAACTAGTCTTTAATCCAGTTTATTTGCTGGGAAATACAGTTGCCTACCTCATGCTATTTTTGCTCATATCAGTAAGAAGCCAGGTGACCTCAGGGTCCCAACCCTATTGATATCGAATCATGATCATTCATGATTTGCTTCAGAGCAAAAGTTTATTTGGTCGCTGACAGCCTTTGCTTCAGAGATAAAAACTATGGCTGACATACTAAAATAACAAAATTTTGAATGCATATAGCTCATAGAAAGCATATAAGAGGACGGTTTATAATATCATCACTATTAAGAAAATATTTGTATATATTTTGATGATGCTATATATATATATTTTATTGATGATACTATTACAGTTGTCCCATTTTTTTCCTCCCCTTTATTCCCCTCAGCCCACTACCCTCCCTCTTAGTTCATGCCCATGAGTCATACACATAAGTTCTTTGGCTTCTCCATTTCTTATACTATTCTTAACGTCCCCCTGTCTATTTTGTACCTACTATTTATGCTTCTTATTCCCTGTACCTTTTCTCCCATTATCCCCCACCCCCAATAAACCTCCCCTCTGACCTCCATTTCTGTGATTCTGTTCCTGTTCTAGTTGTTTGCTTAGTTTGTTTTTGTTTTTAGGTTCAGTAATTGATAGTTGTGAGTTTGTTCATATTACCGTTCATACTTTTGATATTCTTTTTCTTACATAAGTCCCTTTAACATTTCATATAATAAGGTCTTGGAGATGATGAACTCCTTTAGCTTGACGTTATCCCGGAAACATTTTATCTACTCTTCATTCTAAATGATAGTGTTGCTGGATAGAGTAATCTTGGATGTAGGTCCTTGGTTTTCATGACTTTGAATACTCCTTTCCGAGAAATCAACAGATAGTCTTATAGGAACTTCTTTGTAGGTAACTGTCTCCTTTTCTCCTTATCTTGAATCTTGGGTAATGCAATTTTGCTGTGCCTTGGTGTGTACTTCCTTCGGTCCAACTTCTTTGGGACTCTCTGAGCTTCCTGGACTTCCTGGAAGTCTATTTCCTTCACCAGACTGGGGGAGATCTCCTTCATTATTTTTACAAATAAGCTTTCAATTCCTTGCTCTTCCTCTTCTCCTTCTGGCACCCCTATGATTCAGATATTGGATCATTTAAAGTTGTCCCATAGTTTCCTAAGAATCTCATTTTTTTGAATTCTTGTTTCTTCATTCTGTTCTGGTTGAATGTTTATCTTTTCCTTCTGCTCTAAATCATTGATTTGAGTTCCAGTTTCCTTCCCTTTACTGTTGGTTCTCTGTATATTTTTCTTTATTTCACTTTGCATAGCCTTCACTTTTTCCTCCATTTTGCAATCATACTCAACCATTTCTTTGAGTATCCTGATTGCCAGTGTTTTGAACTGTGCATCTGATAGGTTGTCTATCTGTTCTTCGCTTAGCTCTATTTTTGGAGCTTTGATATGTTCTTTCATTTGGGCCATGTTTCTTTGTCTCAGGGCACCTGTTACGTTGGAAGGGGCAGAGCCTTTGGTATTAGCCATGGTGGGACAACCCCTGTTGCTGCATTGTGATGCTGTATGCAAGGGAGGGGTCCAAGAGGGAACAGTGGTACTTACTCAGCTCTCGGTGGGCTTTCAGTCACTTCCCCTGCTACCCAAAGCAAATTGGGCCCTTTTGGTGTTGGTTCCCGGTTGGGTGGATTTGTGTACATTCTAGGACCCTGAGTGTCTCTCCAACAAACTCTCCTTTGAGGCTGGGAGTTTCTCCTGCTGCCACATCCCCCACAGGTGTTATTCTGGTTATTTTTTGTTTTTAAATTTATTGTTGTCCTTTTGGTTGTGTGAGGAGGCAAAGTGTATTTACCTACACCTCCATCTTGGCCGGAAGTTCCCACTGTTAAGAAAAATATTATTGATCTGAAAGAAATGTCCTGAATTGGCTGCCCAGAAATCAGATATAGCAAGACAGCCATGTGTTTCATTCCTCAGTCTTAGAGTATTTTAAACATAATGATTTCATTGCTCACATTAAAAATTGACAGATTTCTCATAAGTTCCCAGGTTTCTTGTTTCTATAAAATTTAGCACATCTGGCCGTACTGTGTACTTAAATTTTCCCCATGATAACATGACTGTCAATACTAAATATTGGGGATCTCTTTGGGACTGAGTGAGGCTGTTCATTGAGAACAGCAACCCCTGCTATATCCCTGAGGCCAAGGTTTAGGTATCATATTGCAACTTTCATGCATTCATATTTGCACCAGGTTCAGCAGGGCCAGGATGAGGGTGAGGTGAGAAGGCACTATCTTCAGGGCAAAATTTAAGGCAGGGGGATGACTTAAAAAACTAAAAAAAAAAAAAATCCACTTAAATAATATTCTTTACAATAATATTTTTAAAAATCAAAATTACTGCAAAAGAAAAAATTTGTGATGAGTACAATGCCAGAGTTTTAAAGACAAAATCAAGTTCTTCACTAGCACAACCTTCAGCATTGAGCAAAGGAGTGTATAGGCACCACAATACAAAAAAGGAGAATTTTAATATACTGACTTTCCAATTCTTCAATACTTTTTGAACCACTTTAATGTTTGGAAAAACATTAATCATTCAAAAAACATGTAAGCACATCTGTAAAGGATTCGCATTTCCCCTTTTGCCTCCACGCGGCCAGGCCCAGCACTGGGGCTCGTGTGGGAAATGGCATCTGTGACTCCGCTGCCTCGAAACGTGATGGTTCAGGCAGAGTAAGAAGTCTCTCTGACAGGTGTGCTCGCCTTAGGATAACTAACCTGTGACTGGAAAGGTCAATTTAACTACTGCCTTGCAGCATATTTGTGTATAACTTCTTCAAGAATGGGAAGAGCCAAGTAACTTCTGCCTTGCCTTCGTAAGGAAACAAGATGGGTACCTCATGGGAATGCTATCAGACTTTAAATGTCCTTTTGATTCGAGAGCAGAGGAATGTGTATTATTTTCCTTTGAAGGTTTTTTTCTTCATAATCTCTGGCCATTAAAATAACAAACTTGATTAACTTCTGTGACTAAGGAGTTGATGAAAAACCCTGGAATATATTCCTTTTTAGTACTTGGGGCTCTCCATTCCTTAGAAAAATCAAATGTTAAAAAGTTAAAGACCTCCTACTTATGTAATTATGTTCTCTGCCCCATATATGCCTTTTGAAAATAAATATCACAGCTAGTTAAAAACCTCTTGTAATTTCTCAAGAAGCCTTTGGCTGGGAGTCGGGGGTAAGGGAGGGGAAGCCACTGAGCCACAAAGAAACTGATTTAACACTCAATGGAATAGCTTTCAATCTAGAAATGAAAAGCTGAGTGAAATAACTGACGTTCTAAATGAAACCTTGCTTAGTTGCTGGTGTTAATGGGATTTTTGTCCCCTAACATTAATTTATTCACTTTGCCCAGGCAATTTCCTGCCATTTTGCCAGTGCTGACTGCCACTACATCGATGTGAAGGGCACTAGTCAAGAAAAGATTGAGAAGGAAGTTGTGTTGTTAGCAAAAAAAATGTATGGAATTGAAAATGTCTCCATGAAGGTATGTGTATGAAATGACAAGGAAAGATCTCAGTTTTTTTCTTTTCTTCAGGTGCTTAATAATTCTCATATATGATTTAATTTGAAAGTATAAAGTGCTTGGATGGAGAGCTCATAGCAGAAACGTGGCTGAGACCCACTAGGAATGACCACGAATTTCAGTTTCTACTTGCTTCCCTGGTACGGGGGAGCTGAGGACGTGCTGACTTCCTTACGTCTTTGGGCTCTCCTGGGATGTGCAGGCTACCTTGTGCTAGGCTGGACAGGTAGGGAAGAAAATAGAAAACAGATTTAGGGACAGGAATGAAGGACAAAAGGCTTCTTTCTGAATGCACATGAAGAAATTTAAAGGTTTGGACTGTCACTCATACTCCTCCTTTATTTGTACAGAATAGAATATTAATGCATTGGGAATCCAGTAAGACTCCCAGGAAACAATTCTTGGGCAAATTTGGGTCACTTTGATCCTGAAGTTTAATGAGAGGCACAGCTTATATGTAACGGAGATTTAAGATCACTAATGCTTACCAGTAAGAGGTGTGAGATAATATTTTATATGCTTTCCTAATTCATACACATCACTTGTAAATTATGTGTTTTTTAATCAGTGGACATTCAATGCTGTTGAGGATCAATAAAAAAATTACCAGTCAAGGCAAATAAATAAACATATTTTCTTTGTAGACTATGCACATTTTAGCACCTGAACAAGGAGCTAAACCTATTTTTAAAATTTACAGTAGATAATCATAAATGCCTGCATTTCCTATGGGGGGTGACGTGAGCCCCACACAGACTGAATGCAGTGGTAACTGGGGGCTTCCCATTGCTGTGGAGAGCACTGCACACCAATGACAGGCCACTGATGCTGGGAGTCATTTTCTGAATACCTTCAAGAACTTTACTTCACCCTTTCCCTCTTTCTCCCCTTAGAAGCTGTGAATGTACCACATACCTGAGAATGCTCTGATTTCACATTTGCAAATCCTAGGAAGTATCGTCCTCTACCTTTGTCCAATACTTAAATGCCTTACAAAGGCAACATAGTTTGGCAACCGGGGCTTCCATCCAACACCCTGAGAGAAAAAAAACTATACATTAAGTTTGCGGTTTGTCGATATTGTACTAAGTGAATTACGTCCTGTATTTATTTTCGTTACTCTCTGACTTATAGTTTATCAACTTTACTTAGAATAACATACAAACTTCTGCTATGTAATTCTTTGTAGTAAGGAACAAACAAAAGCACTTTCATATTCCTCTTCCTGTTTTCCTCGCCAAAATCCAATGGAGCAGTCATTGTAACTACATGCTTCTTTTTTTCTCAATCTTCACTTGAGGATATGTTTATTGATTTTAGAGAAAGAGGAAAGGAAAGAGAGAAACACCGATGTGAGAGAGAAATGTCAATTGGTTGTCTCCTATCCACTCCCTGACTGGTATACGGAACGATACTCCAACCAACCGAGCCACTCGGCCAGGGCTGTACCTCCATGATCTTAATGAGAAAATAGAGTCCAAGAGGTTGGCCTGTTAACATGGCAGAGCTAGACTTCAGAGTCAGGTCAAATTCTAAAATTGTTCTTCCCAACCTGTCTTGCTGGTTGCTCAAAAATAAACAAGGACTAAGAAATAAATTAGAAAGTCTGAATTGTTTTATTAAGGACAAAGAAAAAAATGAACTATTAACCTATAGCATCATTTTCATGATTATGATATAATCAGGAGTAGATCACTGAAAATGAATCAGGCAAGTTACCGAAAGGAAGGCAGGAAGACGGGTAGTGAACTGTGCTGTGACCAAGCACAGCACTCAGCCAGTTAGGGTACCTGGAATCAGTAAGAGTGCCAAATAAAACAGGGCCAACAGTCTGGGGACTCCCTGCCTTAGATTGTTTAACCTGCTATTAGATGTGGCAAGTAAATTAATCAGGGTCTCAGAATATGGTTTATTTTCCAACCGATAGGACTTTACTGTGGAGGCTTTTTCCCTTTATTTAACCATTTGTAGATGTTAGAAACTTACTTTTTTGTGGTCAAGAGACAAATGAAGTGTTCCACAAACTCATTTTGTTTGACATTATTTCCAGGATATTTGGAGAATTCGAGGACGGCTTGTGAAAGGAGAAAGAACCAACCTTTGAAACAGCCCTTTGCTATAAATCTTTTAAAGAAAACCAAAATTAAACAAGGTGTCTAAGGAAAATATTTTCTTAATGAGATGACGTAATTTTTCCTATCACTTGTTAACAAAATCAAAATGCTTGTATCAGTACTTAATTGCCTGTGGGTAATTTTGCAGTGCAGTGATGTTGCTTTGATGACTGTAAAAACAGTGGAAGTGAAATATCACTGTTTTAAGGAAAATAAAGTTAGGGTTACAACTGAATAAAGATGAATGCTGTATAATTTACGTGTGTTAGATCTGTTTCTTTCATTCAATTAGCTCTTTACCCAAGCAGAAATGAAGGCTTTGAAATTCAGGGTGTGTTCAGTTTTGTATCCCTCTTCCGGAAAACACACCACCTACTTATTTCATGTCATGAGAGACTTCTTTTTAAATATAGAACAAGGTACAAGGCAGACACACTTCCTGAAGGGCATAAGAAGGGCATCATGGAGTAAAAATATGAGTGGATACTCACACCCTGATATGACTTCATGCTACAACTTCACAATAGCAGCACTATTTACAATAGCCAAGTGCCGGAAGCAGCCTAAGTGCCATCAGTAGAAGAGTGGATTAAAAAACTGTGGTGCATTTACACAATGGAATATTATGTAGCAGAAAGAAAGAACTCCTGTTCTTCGTGACAGCATGGATGGAACCAGAGAACATTATGCTAAGTGAAATAAGCCAGGGGGCAAAAGACAAATACCATATGATCTCACCTATAAGTGGAATCTAATCCATAAAACAAACAAGTGAGCAAAATAGAACCAGAGATTGAAATAAAGAACAAACTGTCAGTGACCGGAGGGGAAGGGGGAGGGGAATAACCAGAGAGAGAAGGGGGAATGTCAAGTAAAGAAACATGTATAAAGGACACAGGGACAAAGATGATGCGGTTGGGGGGAGGATTGAGTATGGGGGGGAGGGGAGGGGAGGGGAGAGTAATGGAGGCAAAATGGGGACAACTGTAATTGAACAAGAATTTAAAAAATTTTAGAAAATAGACTGAACTAAGTCTTCCTAAGGAATAAAGACAAGGGTAACATCTCATTTCTTAATGGGTAGGGCAGCTGAAAAGCTTTAGTACTCAGGAATGTAACCTAACCTCTTTCAAAGTACAGGGAAATTTTGGATACTTTTCATCTGGGTTTTGAATGAGCGAAACTAGAGGAATTTATTGTAACAGAGCATCGTCTTTTGTACCAGCTGAGGACAGCAAGGAGACACAGTTTTTTTGTTTTGTTTTGTTTTTTAATTCTAGCTTATTAAAAGAGAAATAGAGTCCCTTTCTTGTCATTCTGCTAAGCATAAGTGTTTCTAAGTCTCGTTTCACTGAGTTTTTGTTGGTTTCTCCTATAAGGACACCCAGTCTAAGCTCAGTTCCAGCTAGAAAATGGGGACATTATCACTGACAGGATCTAAAGAAATTAGATTATGGAATAATGGAAAATAAAATATATAAGGAATGGCAGTGTGAACTGCATGTATAGAGCACTGTTCAGTATTTCTTGGGCTTCTTGTCCATGGAACCAGGAAGAGCTGATTTTTAAGAATGCTGTGATTTGTCAGACCTTGGGCATGAGACTCTAGACGGAGAACCTCCTGGGGCTCATCTGTCCCCAGAGAAAGGAAATGAAGGGAGGGACTTTTACTCTATTACTTGGGACAGCAACTAGAGCAGAATCACCTGCTGGTCCCATCATCCAGCCTCCACCTGTAGGGTGCGCTGAGCCAGCATGGCAGCCTGGGCCCCTCCGCAGCAACCTGAGCTTCTGGCCAAGACCTACTAGCTTCCTCTGCAGCCTCCTGCCTTTTAACCCAAGAGACCAAGCCACTGCCCATTTACTGAGCTGCCCCAGGCTTTGGGGTGGCAGCTTGGTACTTGTGGGGGGACCTCGACCTGCAAAGTCCCCTGGAGCCACAGGTGAAGTAAATCTACCAACACATGATCTGCGTGGGGAGAAAAGGCTGGCCAATCCCTCAGAGAAGAAGGGCCCTGATCTCCTTCTCCCTAGGCTTTTATTGAGTTCAGCAGGTAAGGAAGCACACAGAATGCACACATAGCTCATCAATCAATGGCACATAGTGTTGATCGAAGGTGAATAGGTATTGTTCAGAAGTAAAAATTGAAAGAACATAGGGTTCTCTTTAAATCAGGGCCTGTTAGCATGACGCTAGGTGGTAAGAACAACCTTGTGCTTGGAAACCGATCATCCAGTGTACGTTAACTCGATTAACTAGAAGACATTATTCTTAGCAGGACAGGCATCAAAGGAAATAATGAATTATTTGTCTTCAGGCCTGATTTCCCCCGGGGGGCTGCCTGTGCCCGCATGGGTTCATGCCTGCCGGCCAGCATTCCTGGTTTTCCAGTTGAGACTTAAGGTCAGTCCTTGTTCACACGGGGCTACAGTCCCTGATAGCAGGCAGGGTGGTTCCCCACTGCTACTTGGGGCTGTTGGTGCACTACAGCCTTAACCTCCCTGTCAGGGATCTGAAGAGCAAGCATCCCGGTCAGGGTGGCTCAGAAGCCCTCTCCTGAGGATGACACTTGGCAGGTGAGAGGCCCATGGAGTCACTGCTCTAGGAATGATGGCAGCTTAGCAATGGCAGCCACTTTAGGAACTAAAGACTTGACGCAGGTGCTGACTTGGACACAAGTCATGGAAACCAGGTTCCAGTGCAAAACCCAGTCTCGCCAGGTGCTGGTCCTAAGTCCAACCTCCCAAGATGCAGATTGTATTGCTCCCCCTGGCCTGCAGTCGGGGAGAGACTGAACTTCTGGACTCTGCTATTGCAATGAGATGAGGGGACTTGAATGTTCTCCCTCTAGGGTTGGATGGAGGTGCACTAGCTTCACGCGAGAGGGTCTAGAGATGTGGTTCTCAGAGCGGACTACACATTCCAATATCCCTGGTGCTTTAAAAATACCAATGTCTGGGCCTCTAAAATTCTCTGTGTGCGTTTGTGACTGTGTGCATACAACTTTAAAAAATTCATGTCTTCTAACCGGCAAGTGCTGATTAATAAGTCCCTGAATCATTTTTTTCCTGCTTTAATGAGGCATAATGGACAAAGAGACATTGAATATATTTAAGGTGTACATCATAGCCCTTCCATTTCTGTGCTCAGAGATGTTATCATGCCCCTCCCCACGCCAGACCAGCTGGTATTGCCCCAAAGCAAGAACAGTTTGCTCACACTTGTATCACTCCTTACTATGTGCAAAGCACTATTGTAAGCACTTAACTTGTATTAATGCTTTTAATATCATAACAACTTTACAGGGTAAATACAATCATCCCAGTTTTATAAATGAGACAACTCAGGCACAGAGAGGTTCAATAACTTGCCTAAGGTCACACAGCTAGCAAGTGGTGAAGCCAGGATTTGAACCCCAAGAAGTAGGGCTCCTTGACACTTAGTCATTGGAATAAGCATTAAGAGATCAGATTTAACATCATTTATATATTGTTTACCTAATGACTTTTTTGTATAATGTTTAAGAACTTTACATTTTTCCAATATTTTGGCTCTACTACAATTCAACTTGTATTTCTTGAAATGTAACAGTGGCAGACAGTAAGAGTAATCTCTAATAGAGACATTGGTAGTGTTTATGGAAGCCGGCATTATAAAGGGATTCTACTATATGTACAGAAACTGTGCCTAGCAGTCTGCCGATAAACAACTGTCAGCAAATGAACAGGTTACAGAATCATAGAATATACAGAACTTAAGAGCTGGAGAGGGTCCTATGGATCATGTAGTCCAGTGCTGTGATTTCATTCCTTCATTCATTCAATTTTCAATACTCTTTGAGCACTTTTCATCTGCCAGGCATATGCTGGGTGTGAAGCGCATCCCGATGCCTAGAGCACTCTTTCTGATTGCAAGGGACTCAGCCCCAGGGTCTGAGAGCCCTGAGCTCAAAGACACCTCTGAGCTGAAACACGCATCAGCAATTTACTGATTTCTAATCAAGAAAGGAGAATAACTGGCCCCCCGACAATACTTTACCTTAAAACGTGTATGATCTTTTCATTCCCATAAAGAGAATGTATTATATATATATTACTGTATTTAAAAATCAATTTTGAAAAGTTCTTGCAAATTACCCTTGTTAGTAAAAACACAATGTAGTTCATTAGGCTAAGCAAAGAGTTTTTAAAAGGGTTTTTTTTTTTTTTTGTCCTAATGAAAATAGTAGATAGTATTACAGAAACAAGTCATGAAGTGAAAAGTCGGTTTAAGTTGGTCATGCCTGTTTGCATTGAGTGCACCTGTGCACTAGCTAGGACTTTGGCTACAGGAACCAGGTTGAGCACCATGAGACCTTTACAACAAGGATACTGGCCAGTCTACGACATCTAAGAGAGCTGGACTGCAGGTTGGCTGGCCCAGGACACAGGGCTGCAGGGAAGCCAGGACTCTCCCATCTCCAGCTCTGAATTCTGCTCCTCTCTGTGCAGCCACTCCATTCTTTCTCCCCACAGGTCAGCTTTCCCTGACTCCCAAATGATGGTGGGAATTGGCTTCCGCCAACGATTCTGAATATATATCTCCCCTTTCCCACAGAGCAGTCAGACTGTGGAACCCTCTGAGTTTAAATTCTAGATTCCTAGGGAAAAGCTCACTAGCTCATTTTAGATCATGTGCCCTTCTCTGATCTGATTGTTATTATTAAAGCTCGAGCACTTACACATTTTTCTTTTTTTTATATTTTACTTATTAACATTAAAAGAGAAAAAATAATATCTTAATGGATAAAAAAATCCATCTCATAAACTTGACCACTCATCCTGAAAAAAAAAAACACAACTATTTAGCAAGGTAGGACAAAAATGAAATTTCCTTGATTTTTAAAAATTTTCTTTTTTTCATATTACCATTTAGTCCCCTTTTACCCTCCTCCCCGCTGCAATCACCACTGTTGTCCATGACCATGAGCTCTTTTTCCTTATCGCTCAATTCCTCCATCCCCTACCCTTCCCCCATTTTTCCTTTTTTTACTGATATTTTTTTTTTGAGAGAGAAAGAAAGGGAGGGGGGGGAGAGAGAGAGAAACATTGATTTATTATTCCACTTATTTATGCGTTCATTGGTTGACTCTTGTATGTGCCCTGACCAGGGATTGAACCCACAACCTTGGCATATCAGGATGACGCTCTCACCAACTGAGATACCCAGCCAGTGCTGATCTGATTTTTTTTTTTAACATTAGAAGTTTCTCCTT